TCCTCCCTTCCCCCAAGCCTGAAGTCTGGGTCCTGCCCCCTGGCCTGGCTGGTGCCTGTCCCAGTGTGTCTTTGGGGACCAGCTGCTTAGGAAAGGTGGACACCCGGGGCTTGGCGTGTTGGCCTACAGCACCCAGGAGGGTGAACAGGACCAGGGTCCAGCCTACAACAGTGGGCAGGTCCAGCCAATCCATTCCCTGGGTATGCCAGTGCCAATGCAGGGTGCCTCCCACCTTTTCTCTTTCCCCTCACAGTTCTGGGTGGGACGAGCTGGCGGAGGGTGCAGCTGTCCCTGTCCAGTGTGTGGCCCGTGGGTCTGAGGCTGGCCATTTCTCCTAAGCCAGCAGCCAGGTTCGGTCTGGGCCAGCAGACACCATTTCACTTTTCTGGATCTTAGAAGGTGCTGGTCTAGTCCAGTTCTCAGACTCAGTGGAGTCTTGGCAGGCAGGGGCCCTGCGGTGCTCTCTTTACTGTGGGCTCCTAAAGGAGGTTGGCAGGCAGGGCCCTGTGCGGCCTCCCTGGAAGGGGCCGTGGGCCCAGTCTCAGGACCAGCTCCTGGCTAGAGGCTCCAGTTGCTAAGCAGACTGCCCTCCGCTCACGGTGCTGGGACGCAAGGGGCTTCCCAGCCTGAAGGAGATGCCCTGGGGCCTGGCCTCCCTGTCTCTTTCCTGTACTCTTGCTTCTTGCTTCGAGAGCAGATCCTGGGTGGGCTTGCCTTTTCCCAGGCTGGTGGAGGCTCTGGCCTCTCTCCTGTCTCCCTAGTGTGGTTCCTGCTGGTGCTAGTTCTGCTACAGCTCTCGTTCTGGGCCCACAGCGATGGCTGTCATACCCAGAGGAAGGACTGATATGGGGAGGAGGGAGCAGGCAGGTGGGGCTGGGAGACCCACATAAAGTTGTTGCATTCCCCTGGGCCCTTGCCAGCCTTAGTAGACCATCCCCCTGGAAGCAGGCCTGGGTGTTTCTGGGAGGACAGGGAAGCCTTGCCCTGTACTGGAGAAGCCTTGCCACTCCCCGGGTCACCGTGGGGGCCTGTCCCATCTCCTTTTGGAACCTGGTTCAGCTGCTTTCTGTTTCAGCTTGGCGTGGGGCTGCTTAGCAGGTACTAGGTTTGCTGAGGGAACTCCTCGGCCACCCCTTAACCGCTGGCCAGGACAGGGAGGGGGCAGGAAGTGTCCTCATTTGTGGAATTGGGGGGTCACTTGAGCAGGAAGGGAGTGCCGGTTCTCCACATACCTCTGGCATCTCCTAAGAGATGCCTTATTCTCTGCCTCGCTCCATGGTGACAGGCGCTCCCCACTTCCTCCAGGTGGAAGGAGAGGAGGTTTGCTCACAGCATGGGGCTTGTGTGTGTAGGTGTGTACATGCATGTACTACTACTGAGCCTGTCCCAAGGACTTTCTGTATGCACAGGGTCCTAGACCCTTCTGCCTGGAGGCCTGGAATGGGGGGAGAGATGGGGAGGCCGTCATTGCAGTACAGCATGAGACCTGCCCCCTCGATGGGTGACAGACCAGAGAGGTAGAGCTGCTTAGTGGAGAGCAGCAGAAGGCTTTGAGGAGGTGGGCTGAGCTGAGTCTTGCAGGATGGGCAGGAATTTCTCAGGCAGAAGGGACTCTAGAATAGGGTGAAGAAGGACATTTCGGGCAGAGGAAGTAGCTTACGCAAAGGCAGGAAGCATGGGAGGACGTGGCATGTTTGGGGAGCTGCAAATAGTTCCACGTGGGTGTGTGCGGGGGTGTGGCGGGTGAGGAGACTGGCAAGGCGGGCTGGGCCAGAGCCTGGATCTGTCCCTCCCTCTGCCACGCAGATACTCAGTGGGTGCCTGCCCATCTGGGCCTGGCCCCTGGTGGGGCCTGGGCTGCAGAACGGGAGTGTGAGGTGTGTGTGGACCAATCGGGGCTGCATCACGTGGGCCTCCCTGAAAGACAGCCAGTGTGCTGGGCTCGGGTTTCTGTGAATTGGGAACCATCGGGGGTTCCACACAGGACAGTCACAGGAGTTCGGGTGCCTTTGGGGACTGAAGAGGGTGTTGAGCTTAGCCCCATGTCGGCTGCTCAAGCAATCCCAGGAAAGACCCTGGAACTCAAACCTGGGCAGGCCAAGGGTAGAGAAGAGGGATCAAGAAATCTGCCCATTTCCCTATCCCCTACGTTGGTTGCTTCTTTGTGCAGCATAGGTTGCTAGGGCCAGGGACATGAAGACAGGCTTGGCGGTGGCACCGACCCTTAGTCTGTCACCAGGAGGCCTACCTAAACCTCTTGCCTGTCTGGCAGAGCGCGTCTTTGGGTGTGAGTGGTGCAGTGGCACCATCTAGAGACAAGAGGTGGTACTGCTGCGATCTTCCAGGCTGCGCCCGGGTTAGGTAGGAAGGAGCCTCAGGCCGAGTTGAGCCTGAGGCGAGGTAGAGTTGACAGCATGTACCTGGGGAGATGGATGTTGGGGCAGCCTGAAAAGCTCCCAAGAGGGAGCTTGAAGGACGGGCAGGGTGGGCTGCTTGTTCAGAGCTTAGGTGGGTGGGCATTTTGGTCTCAGGGACAGTCGTGTGGACCGAATCATACTGCTTCTGACCAACGACAATTACAGAGCAGTCGCTGAGTTCCAGACCTGGGCCAACTGAAGAGGGTGTTGAGCTTTGATATCTGGTTCCTCCAGATATTAAAAAACTGGGACTCCAAGAAGCCGGGGGACTTATCCAGGGTCACCTGGAGAAGGGCTGCCTTCTCCAGCTGTGGATCTGACCACTACCATGTCACCTGCCGCTGAAGCCCGCAGCCAGGCTCAAGGCCATGAGGTCCGAGGGGGCAGAAGGGACCTGGGCCACAGAGAGCAGGGTGTGAGCTAGAATCCACTCAGGTGAGTGCCACGTTGCAGGCCAAGAGTGACTCCAAGTCAGGACTGGGTCGGCCAGAGCAGAGGAGGCAGGTCTAGACTGGGCATTGTTGACAGGGCATGGAAAGGGCTGTAACGGGGGCCGGTAGGTGACAGGGATGTTAGGGTAGCTTGAAAAACACTATGCGTGTGCCCTAAATCCCAGTGGGAATGGAGGAAAGGGATTGCTGCGAGGCCATGCCCCACTGGAGGGTGCTTTCTCCTCTCTGACAAGTACATATGCAATTATTTAAAAGGAGTGGGTGAGAGCGAGCATCCATGCTAAGTCTCCTGGATTCAGGAGGGGGCCCAGCCCAGGGCTGTTACAGGGTTAGGCTGCGGGAAGGCTGACATGGGGACAGGTGGCAGAAGGTGAGACAAACTGGGACCCCGACAGAAGTGAATGCTGGGCCTCCAGGCCATGGGGCAGTCCTAGGGAGGGGAGGAACTCAGAAGAGCCCTCCTGGCTGGGCTTTCTGGGGGCCAGAGGAGAGGAGAGGAGGGGAGCAGAGCAGAGTGGGAAGTGCCAGCCCAGGGGTTGTGGGGGTGTCTGGAGGCTCCGAGGGGAACCAGCAATCTCAGGCTTAGCCAGGAAAGGGCTTGAGAAGTGGCCCAGGTCCCAGCCTCAGCATGGCTTGGAGAGGAGGTCTGAGGCCCTGGTGATGGCAGGGGGGCCCCCTCACAGCATTTGGGCAACAGCAAAGTCCACGCGGTCCCACATCCTGACCAATGCTTCCTGCATTTCTCCACAGCCTGATGCAGGTCCTCATCCTGGCCTCTCAACCCTGCATGTACAAATGTGTGTGTGCATGCTCCCACACACACACCCTGGCCTCTCAACCCTGTGTGTACACATGTGTGTGCCTGTTTCCACACACACACCCTGGCCTCTCAACCTGCATGTACACATGTATATGTGCACGCTTCCATACACACACCCTGGCCTCCCAACCATGTGCGTGCACATTTCCACGCACACACCCTGACCTCTCAACCCTGCATGTATGTGTGTGTGTGCATACTCCTGCACACACACGCTTTTCCGAGCCACAACCCTCGAAGCCTCTGGGCTTTTCCCCTTGCTGTGCTCCCTGCCTGCCATGCACCTCTGCCAGTGAGGCCTGCTCCCCTCTGGAGTAGGGGGACATGAGCTGATGGGGCTGCACTGGATCCGGTCTGGAGGATCAGCCAGCCTGCAGTCCTTCCAGTAGCTGTGAGGGGAGTGGAGGGGTGGGGACTGACAGAGGGTCACATCAGGATGCAGGGCCTCTCAGTGGTGCTGTTGACGGGCTGCCTGGAGGGTCCTTCCCTCTCCTAGGCTGCTCATGGGTAGAGACCAGATCTGGTCCCTCACCCTGACCCATGAACTCCAGGAGGGGTGTGGCAAGTGGGGGCGGGGGGTGGAGTCCTGTAGCAGGAAGCTGTGGGCAGCATCGCCAGCTCTGTCCTGGTATCCGGGGCCACATGCAGGCAGAGATGGTGGTTCTGCCAGGCCTGAGCTGGCACAGACCCAGGAGGAGGAGGTCTGCGACCTGCTCCCTCAGCCCAAGGCTGATGCCCCTGCTCTGTTCCCCTCCCAGGTGCCCCCTGAGAAGTGCCGCTGCGTGGTGGGCAGCATCCTGAGCGAAGGTGAGGAGTCGCCCTCCCCCGAACTCATCCACCTCTACCAGAAATTCGGCTTCAAGGTGTTCTCCTTCCCTGCTCCCAGCCATGTGGTGACTGCCACCTTCCCCCACACCACCCCGCTGTCCATCTGGCTGGCTGCCCGCCGTGTCCATCCTGCCTTGGACACCTACATCAAGGTGAGGCATGGCAGACTGGGGAGGCCTGCCCAGATGGGAGGAAAGTGGTCTGAGAGAGCAGCCTCCTGGGCCCCCATGGAGCAGGCGCCTGTGGACCTGGGAAGACGGGCACAGGCCCTTGGGGCCAGAGCATCTCCAAGAGCGTAGAGGGCTTGTTCTGAAGCCTGGCCTGCTCAGTTCAGCTCTGGCATTGACCAGGGATGCTCGGAGTGTTCTTGCACTCTGGGCTCAGGTGGATGACCTGCTCTACCCTGCCCCCACCCTCCTGGAAGCCTGCAGAGCAAGGCCCCTCAGTCCCATGCGTTCCGCCCTGGGACAGCCAATGGCACGGGTGAGCACACATCAGGCGACTGTGGGCCCGGGGGAGCCTCACACCTGTGTTATCCAGGCACCTGGGAAGGGGTGGTGTAGGGACAAATCTGGAGCTCCAGCAGCTCTGGAAACGGGGGTGCAGAATGTGGTGTCATGACTGGGATGAACTAATGAGGCCCCGGGTCACCAGTAGAGGCCTAAGTGGTCAAGGACAGGCTGATGAGACAGGTGAGGAGACCTGGACAGGAGGGCCGTCCTGGAGGAGGGCAGGGGCGCTGGGAGGACCGAGGCGGGCTTCCTTTTTGAACTAAAGGGTGGCTGCCAGAAGGGGTGCTGGTGAGGTATGCTTGCAGGGCTGGGTTGCCCGGAGGTGAGGACAGGAAGGGAGAAGTAGACGCCCCGGCCCGCTCAGCCTGCTGCCCAGTTCACTCAGAGGCCGGGTCCTGTCTGCGCCATCCTCAACCTCCTCGCTTCCCCAGGAGAGAGATCCTGAGTGCCAGACCTCAGCCAGGCTCGGCCTGTGGCGTGGTGGCGAGCAACTGAGCCCCAAAGCCTTTTCCTGGCTCCAAGGGTTTATTTTTAGACACCTTTGTCCAAATTTCCCGGCCCCTGACAGCTTCACAAGTTGCCTGGTTTTGACGTCACCTCTTTGATGAAAGCCCTGCCCCCGCCCTCTCCCTCCCTTCCCCTCCCATGGGAGCCCGTTAGTTGCACTCTGGGCTGGTTCTCCTGGGGCAGGGGCTGGAACAAGGAACCCAAGGGGGTGCAGAGAGCGTGGCCCCTCCCAGAGCTGTCTGAGGTGGGCTTGTGTGGGCCGGGCCACCAGCTAGGAGGCTGGGAAAGGCCAGGCTGCCCAGGGAGAGGACAGGACCTGAGGTCCTCAGCTAGTGTGGGTGGCACGGGGTAGAGGTCACCTGTGGGTCCCTGAGTCCTGGGAACAGCGGGACAAAGATGAGGAAGAGGCTGGCTCTGTTGGGACAACCCACAGTGCCGTTAAGGGTGAGGGTGGATGTGGGGTGCTCTTTACCTCTCTCAGCCCAGGAGACTGAAGAACACCCCTGCCTGTATTCCCTGCCCTGAGTCAGAGAAAGGCTGCCAGTGAGCCTCCAGGCGCTCTGCCTCTGCCAGCCCCGACAGCTGGCTGCCTCTGTGTGTGTGCACGCGTGTGTGTTCACGCGTGCACCCTTTCTTTTCTCTCGGATCTGGGTCTACTGTGAAGGCTCTTCAAAAGGAACGACAGCAGCCATCCGCTTTCTGTTTCAGGAGGGCTAAGGGAGGCCAGGAGGGGAGGGAGGGCTTGGCAGCTCTCCTGTCACCCAGAGGCTGGTGGGCGGGTGAGTGGGTCTCAGAGAGCTGGGGGTGGGGGGCAATGCAGTCCTGGCACTTGCAGATGTACCTGAGCCTGGGGCAGGATTGACCTCGGGACAGCAGAGACCACCTCCCTCCCCGGGGTCACTGTAGGGGCCCTTCCAGGGCATTCTGGGAGGAATGGCTGGCTTTCAGCTTTGTGGTTTGCATGGCAGCCTCTGGCCAGACTCCCAGCCCGGCAGCCTGGCAAACAAGCTGCAGGGACTGGAGCTCTGCCTTCACTCCACCTGGATGGCTGGGGCCAGGCTGAGGGTTCCAGGAGTGAGTGCATGGAAGATGGCCCAGCTCTGCCAGGCTGCCCTACTGGAGTCCAAGGAGGTGACCTCCAGGATGGGAGGGTGCTCTTTGCGACCCAGGAAGGGAAGGCCTTGGGCAGCTGCAGGAGGAACTGAGCTTCCTCGTGATGTCAAGCCTGCAGAGGTGCTAGGGCCCATGCGTGCACCCCGAGCAGTGGCCCAATTCACTGTCGGGAGGACCTGATCTTACCAAGGATCCAGGGAAGGCGTCAGCAGGTGCAGAGAACTGGGACCGCAGTACGGGCCTGCGGATCCCAAGTGTGGGCTGCATGGCACTTGGCTCATGTCTGTGTCTGTCCATACCAGCTGGTGCGAGGTCACTAAGCATTTAGGTTGCCCCAGCCAAGTACCCTGTGCCTGACTATCCTCCCAGCAGGCTCCAGAATCTTCTCCGTTAACCCCCTTCCCCAGATCTCTGGTTTCTGAGAATGTTCATGGGATGGTTTTTACAAAACAGCTGGGGCATCCTCTCCCAAATTCAGGGAGATCGGGGTACCTTCCACATGGTGACCTGTTGGCTGGGCAGTACGGATCAGACCCTGGCCCTTTCTCCATGGAACTGGAGGGGAGGGGTAAAGGGACCTGTGAGGGCACCTTGTGGCAGAGTTCTGGGACAGCTGCGCAGACCGAGGGTCAGGAACCCAGAGCACCATTCTCGGGCTGTTGGCTGGGAGTCGAGGGACTGTGCAGGAGTCGTCCTGCCTGTGGGTTTTACACCCCAGGTGATATTCTGAGCTTTTGTTTGGGGGGGCTCCCGAGGCACAACTGTCCTAAGAGACGATGCCCTGCTGGCAGGTGCGCCCCCCAGCAGACTGCGTGTCTGTTCCCTGGCTGAGGGTGCTGCAGGGCAGGTGCAGCCGGGAGGTACCAGGGCCCATCCTGTGAGCAGGTGGGGTGGGGGCTCCCCGAAAATGTAGTCGTTTCTGGGGGAGCATGGCTTCGATTGGAAACTGGACCTGGAGGGGAACCCAGGGGGGCTGCAGGTTGGAGAACTCCCTAGTTGTGATGACTGAGCCTCTGACAGCCTGGGAATGCTGTGGGGCAGCCTACTGGGGACTAACGATCGATGCCCCAGGGGGTGCCTGCAGGGGCGGGTCACCCTGCTGAGTCGTGGGCCTGGTCAGGGCTGGATCCTGTCCAGGGGTCTCAGACCCCCCTGCACATTTCCTCTTCGCCCCCTCAGTGACTCCAAGGGAGTCTGCAGATGGGTCTGAATCCACACTGGAGCCAGAGCACTGGTGGGGGCCAAGAGAACCGGGGCAGTGGGGGGTCGTGGTGAGGGCGCCTTGGGGGATGTGAAATCTGCGGCCCTCTCCCCCTCGCTGCTGTTCCTTCTGCTGAGCTAGTACGGGAGAGCTCCAGCTTTGTTTTCAGTAAGGGAGGTCCTCTGGGCTCCGCAGCTCCACCGTGAGCGCAGCAGCGACTCTCCGAGCCCTCCTTCGTGGGATGGTGTTCTTGGTGGGGCATGGGAACCAGCCAATAGGCAGTCGTGGGACCCTCGCGAAGCCAGCATTCCCATCATCATGAACAGGGAGACTGAGCCTCGGGAGGGGATGTTAACCGGGTCAGGGAGGAAGCGATGTCTGAGTCCAGACGGTGGGGTGAGGAGGCCCTCGCCTGAGGACCACTATGATGGCTGCTTGCCTTTTACCCTCTGTCCCGGGCATGAGGGGCCTGGGACCAAGGAGCACGGACTCGTCACGAATCTGGGGTACATTCAGGACAGTGTCCAGGATTGGCCTGCAAGGGCCCAACATCCACTGGGCCTTCTGCCCCAGATTCTGCCAGAGTTGGGGACCCAGGCTGCTCATCTGTGACTGCCGGGCGAGCCAGAGGCAAGGGCAGGAGGAGCTGCCTGCCCACTCGCCCGCAGGCACGCATTAAGGAAGGCCTTGGCAGCTGCTCTGGGCACAGAAAGCAGCTGCTGCAAGAACCTCATCAGGCCTCCGTCCTCATCCTCGGTGAGGCAGAGGTGGCTCCTTTCCCAGGCTTCCCTCACTGGGTCTCCAGGGCCAGCTCACCTGCCAGTGCAGCCACCTGCTCACTGGCCTGGTCCAGCACAGGGAGGAGAGGACCTGGGGCTGAGTGACATGCTCCTAGAACTCTTTTCTTCCTTCATCTCCCCCAGCCAGCCATGCTTAGAGGTGGGGAGGGAGGGGAGGGTTCCCTGGGAAAGGCAGAGTAACCCATGTGCAGTGGTGGGGCGTTTGGGCAGAGCCTGGAAGCCATGTTCTCCGGGTGGGATAGGCAGATCAGGCAGAGGCATTGCTTGGCAGCAGGCATGGCATATGCACCGGGTCAGGCCAGAGCGCAGGGGAGGAGCAAGTTTGAGGCAAGCGATTAGGCTGGGTCCTGTGGGCAGGGAGCCACTGATGGTATCTGAGCAGAAGAGTGACAGTGTCCAGGTTGGGCTTCAGAACAGGACGCAAGCCCCAGTAGATGGGAGGAAGAGCTGGAGGCCATAGTAGAACCCTGGATGAAGGCAACGGAGTGAGCTGAGAGTACAGTGATTCTTCACTCAAGATTCCAAGCCAAAGTAGACCCTCCTGCCATGCCAGGGCTTGGCTTCCCTGGCCCCCCTGGAGCTGCCCTTGGCAGTTGAGGTATAGGGGGACCTACAGGAAGCCAGACCTCTCCCCTCTGCTGGTCCAGGCACTGGAACCTGCTTCTCAGCCTCTCTGGCTTCACCCCCTCCTTTTTCTCCTCCCCCAGGACTCAAAGCACAAAGCCAGCCTTTGCTGGGGTGGCGTGGGAGCCACCACTCTCGAAATACCAGCACGGATCGTAGCTTGGCAGCCCCGTAGGACCCTGGGGGCTGAGGCTCGTCTGGGTGATGCTGTGGGGTGGGCCGTCACCAATCCAGGGGGACCTTCTCCAGGCAGATGGGACTGACTGACCAAGGAAGAGTCCTGTTTCTCTTCTCCAGAAAGCTGGGATTCGGGACTAGGGAGGGAAGGAGATTCCGAGGAAGGGACGTGCCCCCTCCCATCCCCAGCAGAGCCGCAGATTAGGAGAAGCTGGCTG